ATAGACAATGCCAGTGTACAGATGCAGCAGTTAGATGACAGAGTTGTGAACATGTATAAGAGTGTCCGACCCATTCTACAGAGATATCGCAGTGGAAAGCTGCCAAAAGCCTTTAAAATCATCCCTAGCCTTAGGAACTGGGAGCAGGTAATGGTGTACAAATGATTAAATTCCAAGGAAAGTGGGCTAGTGAATGCCACTCATTATTAGTAGGGTAGGGTTAGAATACAATAAAAAAGAACTCCTCTACTTAAAAAAACACTATTGTAATTTTTTTCAATGGGTTGAAAAATTAATGCTGTCCGACTCAGAAGTAAAACTTTATTTTAAGACAATTTATTTTGGCTTATTTGAAAGGTTAAGAATGTTGCCAAAAATTAAGGACATTTGTACAAACTGTATTATTGATGTTTCTTGTGACAAGTCCTTTCTCTGGGTACCCATACATGTATTGACCTTGGTTCTAGGGCTTTCATAGTATTTGACTTAAATTACAAATCAGATATACTTGTAGCTACATAAGTAATTTGGACATATTTTTTGTGTCATCTTCTTTCAGGTTTTATACCTAACAGAACCTGATTCTTGGTCAGCAGCTGCCATGTATCAAGCCACGCGGATATTTGCCTCAAACCTCAACGCTAAAATGGCTCAGAGGTAGGTGGATTGACATTAAGGATAGGGTAAATGGTATAGAGTATCTGTACATTTTATATTGGTGTGGAGATTCAAGGAAGGGAATTTTGGAGCTAGTTTATTTGATAAAGAGGATCTATGTATTTATAATCAAAAGATTTATGTATTGACAGAATTATAGTTATTAAGTGAAATTGATCTTGGTGACACAAATACATAAATATTGCAAGAAACCGTTTTACTCTATCTCAAGTTCTATAATCTCTTTAAACAGTCAAATTAACAATAGGGTTGCCAATTGTGATATATCAATTTAAAGAAATAAGTAACAAGAAAGCGTAAAAAGGTAAGTACACACATGTATTTGTAAGTGTAACAAGTGTTAAGTTGCAGTGCAGTTAAGATGGAACATTATTTTGTTGCTTATTTTATTTTTAGGTTCTTTAATTTAGTTTTACTTCCAAGAATCAGAGATGACATTGCTGAGTACAAAAGACTGAATTTCCATCTGTACATGGTAAGTTTTAACACAAAGAAGATGATCAGATTTAGCTTCCTGTCAAGATTTTTAAACTTGTTGCTTAATTGTTTGTTTTCCTAAAATTTAAAAGTTTTCTCTAGACCAATTTATCGTTAATTAAATGAATTTTATCTTTTAAGGCAGTCAGAAAATCCCTGTTTAAACCTGCAGCATTTTTCAAAGGAATTCTTCTTCCACTGTGTGAGGTAAAACCTTTTTTTAGTCAATAATAGATTAGACCTTCAATGAAAGGCAGATATATTACTTTGGACAAAAAGATCATCCATCATTATTAGGAACATAACATCAGATAATTATTTAAGCATCATACGAGGTCAAATGTAGCTTTGTGTACAGTCAAGTGCTTCTAAATTGATGTTTCTGAAAATGATTGTAAATAGTTTAGCTAAAAGATGTTCATGTATATCATCTATGATCATAATAATCTAAGATAATGCTCTCCCCCATTTCCATTAAGTGTATCTTAGGTGTACCTAGTTGGGTTAAAAAATAATGGAAAAAAGGTTGTGAACAGTACTAATGACAAATAAATTGTAGCCTAAAAGAGAAACTTTACTTAAAAATAGAAGTCACCTGTAGCATCCAAATCGTTAATGTACTTGAGCAATCTGAGTAAACTGTTCCATAATAGCACAGAATGTCATTGAGTTCCAGTGACAAGTTTCATATGTACATTCATAAATCATAAGGGACCATGTACTTAAAGTCAAAGGTGAAGTATGGGAAAGAGATTTTTAAAAATTAAATCACATGACTTTGTAAATTTTATTCCACGAGAAATCTATGTCAAAATAAATGTTCTAAAGATAGTACTATGATTGCCACATAAAGTTGATTACTACAAGATTAACTAAATAGCAACCACCATCCATTTGTCCTATTGATCTGGAACCTGTCACTTAGATCAACATAATGGCTAGATTACATTTACAAGATTCTGTAATGTGGTTTATGTTTACACTCAGGCTGGTAACTGCACACTGAGGGAAGCTATCATTCTCGCCAGTATTTTGGCCAAAAGTTCAGTCCCCATGTTACATTCTGCAGCTGCCATATTGAAGATTGCTGAAATGGATTATAATGGAGCCAACAGTATTTTCTTGAAGACATTACTGGATAAAAAGTATGCCCTCCCCTACAGAGTGGTAGATGCAGTTGTTTTCCACTTTCTAGGGTAAGATTCATCATTTATTGAGTTCTGTTATTTTAAGATTTGCAAACATTTCTTCTGTCAACTGTAGTAAATAAGATGCTAAAATGCAGTAATAAAATAGGTAAAATATTGTTGTAAGATCTTATTAATATTGGGATTAATGGGATACTGTAAATCACTTTTTATTTGCGAGAACTTTATTTTCGCGTAAATATGCAAAACAGTGTGCTCGCGAAAATTTAATTTTTCACGTATAATAGCATTCATTAAGATTATATAGAGCAATGACCACAATTTGTGAAAATTTTGTCTTGCTAATCAAGAGTCAATGACTGTCTCGCGAAAATAAAGTGTCACGAAAATATAGTGATCTACAGTAATTGGCAAAGAGGATGAAGAAAAGTCAAAAACATTTCTTTAAATTTATTCTTGTAATGATTTGTTGCACAGTCTAGATAAAGATAATCAATTTATTTCTTGTGATGGTTTGTTACAGATTCCAAAGAGACAAGAGAGAGCTACCTGTGTTATGGCACCAATCACTTCTGACATTTGTACAGCGATACAAGGAGGACATTTCTAGTGAACAAAAGGAGGCATTAATGGAACTGTTACGAGCACAAACTCACGACAAAATTACTCCTGAAATTCGACGAGAACTTGTTCACTCCAAGTGTCGGGACACTGAAGGAGAGCCACCAGGAGGGAGTGGTGTCATGGAGGACGATTGATAGACATTGACTGATTTGTTATGTTGGAGGACGATTGATTTGTTATGATGGAGGACATTAGATTTGTCGTGATGGAAAATGAGTGATTGACATCCGTTGAGTTGCTCTTTTTGGAGATCTTGACTTGGAATGTTTTAAAGCATCACAGACGTATACATGTACAGAATCTTGTATACATTGTTATTTTTCTCAAAAAAATTAAAAAGAGATTTGTTGATCACTTGCAAACTTTTTATTCAATGGATCATTCATTGAATCGGTTATTCAGTGAGTCAATTGTTCATGGTACATGCATTTCCAAAGACATAAGTGTCGATTTCTCAGTGTGTAGGATATATCATTCTCCTTATTTCTGTTGGGTTTTTTGCTAAGTTTTAAAATCTTGCTTTCTTTCCACGTTATCATCTTCATCCTTTTTTCCTTTTCTTTATGGTTGATTTACAAGTCAGCCTAATAGAGGCCTGCTCACGGTGGTTCACCGGTCGACAGGATGCTTTATCCTCGTGTCTGTTGTGCTCAGTCACAATTTCTCAAATGTTTAATTGGACTTTTGAGAATGCTGTTTATCTTTACACTTTATGCCAAAACGTTACAATATGTTCCTAGAACATTGCATTATTAATACAACTTCTTTTGCAAAGTCAGCCTTACCTCGATGTAAAAATCCTAATCTGGAATACCAACATCTGTTAAACAAAACAAAAACATCACAATTTTTGATAGTGCCATTTGATCATTCAGTGTGTCAGTTGATCATTCAGTGAATCAGTTGATCATTCAGTGTGTCAGTTGATCATTCAGTGTGTCAGTTGATCATTCAGTCCACAAATTTTCAGTGTGTTTTTTCAATAACTTTTTCAGTGATGGTTGCCCAATCAAGTTCAAATTTGGTATGGTAGTTCAGTAGGCAGAAATACGTATTTAAATGCTAAGTTTGTCTCTCTACATCTTCTGGTTTGGAGCTGGGGTGGTGGGGTAGATTCCTTAACTATGCATAATGAATGGGCAAAGAGAACTGCTGAGAATGTTACCATTGAAAACTGGGCTGTGCAAATTGTCCTCTGGGATTAATTTATCTTCCACTTGAAGAAAATTCTAAGCATTATCTTTATCTGTCACATTCAGATTAATTACTGTAGCAGCCTCTGTCTGCAAATGAACTTTGTTTTCAAGTTAAGGTCAATTTTGGATGATGTGCACATTCTCAGAAATATGGATTTAAAATAATATTCATACTTTGTTTTGGTTAAATACCATACACAATGATATGTGATAATTTTATTGAATTCTAAATTCAAGATATATGTTAAGATATCCTTTCTTATTATTACTATTTCATTTTTTGAATTTTTTTTGCTGCCTTTATGCTGTTAATTTTAACAGGTAATCAGATAATAAACCCATTTTGTCAGTGCTGAAAAAGTTCTTATTGTAAATTTAGAAGAAAAGGATGAGAGAGCAGTACAATTAATCCCCTGGGATTAATTATCGTGTTTGCCTCAGAATATTTAGAGGCTTATCTTTATCTGTCACATGAACATTAATGAACACTTTTGTCTGTAACTGATGTTTGTTTTGATGTTGAGGTCAAGTCTGGGTGTCGATATTTGCATTCACTGAAAGCTTGCATAATATAAAAAAACCCTGCTTAAATCTTTTTTAAATACATATTTAATTTAGTTTTTTTTTATAAGACATGAGGTTTTCCCTGTTTTATGTAAATACAAGGTTACTATTTACAGGTTTTGGGACATTCAGGAATTATCTTGAAATTTAAAAATATTGTAACAGTTGGAACTTACAATCTTCATATATTTAAAAAAAAAAAGATAAAGTAAAACTCTCATTAAAATGAGCTGCACCCAATATATGTTAAACAAAACACAAACATCACAATTTTTTTTAGGTATTTTCTAGTTTAATGTAGTTATTGATAAAAATGTGTTTGAAACTATATAAAGCTTCACCGGGGTCTGCATTCATTGAAATTGAAATGAGGCAGAGATCTTCAAAATGGCATCAACATTAACACAACAAATGCTTTGGTTAACAAGCTCAACAGCTGATTACATCAGTATACAATGATAATGAAACATGGTTAATGAAATCACAGTAAAACAACCAGAGACAGAAAAACACCAATGGATGCCTCCATTTTGGAAGTGAACACGAGTCTTTGACTAAATGGTTGTGTGGTTTTATGCCTTGTTACATCTGTAGTCTGTACAGTACTCTCAGTAATGTTGGGTGAGGCTGTCGTCTGCTGGTCATGTCCAGGGCTAGAGGAGAGAGTGACCTGTGAAATTGAATCTGAGTTATCTGGCTGTGCTGTTGACAACAGACTTGAGTTGACTGTTTGAGATACTGAAGATGGACTGTAGTTATTTGGCTGAAATGTTGACAGAGTAGAGTTATTTAGTTGAGATGTTGGATGCAGGGTAGAGTTATCTGGTTGAATTGTTGAGATATTCCTGACAGTAGTTTTACTGTTATATTCAAATGTTGAGGACAATGGTGTTGAGACATGACTTGTCACAGTCTTAGTTGTGGGAGGTCTGGCACTAGTTTGTTTTTCTGTTGTTGTTGTTGTTGTTGTTGTCATTGTTGTTTTAGACTCTTGACAGTACTGACAACAATCGCCATGCCTCCCACTCCTTGGATCACAATCAGACATCACACAGGTCAGGAAGGGGTCATCTCCAAGAGGACAGACATCTAAAACATAATTCTTAGTTTTTACATGAAATAAGGAGGCTATACATCTTCTACTCCAAAGAGAACTCCAAAAACTTTTAAATACTTTGTGATTGCCGTTGTTGTCAAATTTTACCCTGTTTAATATATAAAATATGGTTGAAATTTTATCTTCACCCAATCCATTAACTAGTACTGTTCACAAATGGCCATAACTATGTTTATTTCGTAGCTCAGTGTCTTTTTCTTGTAATTTCGATTTTAATATTAAAAGTCACCTACCCGACACCTTGTTAGCTTTAGAGCTGTCGACACAAAGTCCCTGAATGATTTTAATATTAAAAGTCACCTACCCGACACCTTGTTAGCTTTAGAGCTGTCGACACAAAGTCCCTGTATGCACCACTGAAATTTAGAGAAAAAAAATCAAGTCACTCTAGATTTAAAAAATCATAGAAAGTATACTTTATAGGCCAATATGATATAAACTTGAAAATACAATTGAATTTCAAGCTGTTAACCTTTTGATATCCGCAGGGCGTGCCGTCATGAGGAAAGATCACGTGACATTCAGATTTTTCTGGCACCAAACAAGCCAGTCCATAACACATCGACGTCCAGTCACCATGGTGATAATTCTGAAATAAATAGATATCCACTGTAAAAATCAGTGAAAACCTGTTATGTAGAGTAACGTACTAGGCATCGGGGGATTAAAACGTTACTGTTACGAACATTTTCAATGCGTATCAAAGTGTTTTCCTCCTTTTTTTTAATCAAGATTAAAGAAAACGAAGCATTTAATTAAGACAGAATAAATATAACATTTGGACATTCTCACCCTACAAACACGTGAACGATTGCCGTAAGAGCTTTGACACTGTTCGTCTGCTGTATAAACCAGTCCAGGCTGGGGAAGAAAATGGCGGTTCTGTAACGCGGGAACCCCCAGCAGACAATTTCTCCGCTCCCTGGAAGAAGAATTCAGTAATAGATATATTGTATTGTGCACAGACTATAGGTCAGTCAAGTATGCTTACACAAAAATGTAATACCGTGTTATTTTGTCCACATAATCGTAAATGCTTTGGAGTGAACAAGCAGAAAATGTCCAGGGATTCCGTGCTTTTGCTGGGTCTGTAACACGTGACATCTTGGATGCCATTAAATTAAGATTCGTGGCTGAGCACATTTCTGCATTAAGACTTCCGTCATGCGACGCTCCAAAACTAAAATCATGAGAGCATGTGTTCGATTAGTTGACTAAAACCATGAAAGAAAGCACATGTTTGATAATATTATGACTTTTATAATATATTAATATCAACAATAAAAGTGACAATTTAAGTAACTTTTGTTCACATTAGAAAGCGTGTGTTCGATATGCAAAATCTCGATATCATGAAAACATCAAACATATGTTTGTCCTTTGCTAAGCATATCGTACTTGTGTCCGAGTTCATGGGCCGCTACATGGACAGTGAGAGCGTTCACTTTCTCCTCTACCACGGACACCGACCAGTTCCCACACATCCGGCTCAGGAAAGACAATCCTGCAGAAAAAAAACAGCAACCTGTGTAAGATTATTCTCAGAAAACCCGTATAAGTTCTTTAAAAGTGTCATTCAAGTCACCTACCTATCGTTTTTGGAGAGTCTAGATCTCTGTAGTATAAATCAAACCTGCAATAGACATATACCTTTATTTATTACAACTCTTAGTTAAAGGTCATGTGTAATATGGATGTGTTACTTATGAGAAAACACAGCTGGTCGTGAAGTTTTACCCGGTAAATAGAGCCGCGTGGTCGTGTGGTATGATATTCTGTAAGAATTGTTTGGACCAATCAGAAAACTGCCGGAGAACCTCGTAATCATCCACAATGTCACATCCGGGGCACAGAGCGTGGTGGTGAGTCCAAGGCGGACTGTTTGTTTCCTACAGAATTAAACATTATCTTATCATATTCAGTAGTTATAATTCCAGTACAGGTCCTGGACTACCGGTATTATATTTAGGAATCAGTGTGTAGTTTTTGGTATGCTACTCACTGGGTTCAACGATAGTTTAAAGTATTCCAACAATCTATTGGAATTCCCATGGGTACGAATTGCGCTCCGTTATTAGCAGACTTATTTTTATATTCATATGAAGCAGAATTTATACAAAATCTTATGCGTGAAAAGAAGAAAACACTTGCTGTGGCCTTCAACTCGACATTTAGATATATGAGACGTATTGTCAATTAATAATGATAATTTCCATTCCTACTTGTGTACGATATATCCTGGTGAACTTGAGATAAAAGATACCACAGAGTCAGGGTTACTTCTGCTTCATACTTGGATATTTTACTTGAAAAAGACACTAATGGTAATCTAACAACCAAGCTATATGATAAACGTGATGACTTTAAGTTTTTATTTCAGCTTCCCTTACTTATGCAGCAATATACCTTCATCACCTGCATACGGAGTATATATATCTCAGTTATTTGTTATTTACGCAAGAGCGTGCTCTACGTATGAACAATTTCTTAAACGAGGTAAATTATTGACAAGCAAGTTGATGAAACAAGAATATCAACAGTCTCGTTTAATGTCATAATTTCGTAAATTCTATGGTCGATACAATGACCTTGTCAGCAAATACGATTTATCATTGAGTCATATGCTGACTGACGTTTTTCATACCAATTGTTAGTCCATTATTTATACACTGAATTGACGACGGATTTTTTCCGTTATTTCCTGATCATGACAACGAGCACACGGCGGGTGTGACCGGTCGGCAGGGGATGCTCACTCCTCCATGGCACCTGTCCACCTCTGATGTTTCGGAGGTCCGTGTTTGCTCTGCTCTTATTTTGTATATTGTTTAATGGACGTTGAGATTGAATACTGTTCGTTATCTCCATATCCTTCTTTAAAACGTTTCCAACTATCGTTGATGTTCCTGTCACACCCAACAAACTAAACTGATATTCTTTATACTTATTATTTCCATTTCATTGTGAAATAAAATTGTAAATTTAGATTTAAGAACGTTGTTTAATAAATTCAAATTACACGAGGTCTTCCATCTCAATTTCAGTAGTCCCACGATAATGTAAACTTATGTTCAAGATGACGATGATGATGTTGACTTGCGTTAAAGATGATGATGATGATGTTAACTTACGTTTAAGATGTCGATGATGATGTTGACTTACGTTAAAGATGATGATGATGATGATGTTAACTTACGTTAAAGATGACAATACAGGACAGGATGATGTTAACTTATAAATGTTTAAGATGATGATGATGTTAACTTACGTTTAAGATGACGGTGATGATGTTGACTTGCGTTAAAGATTATGATGATGTTAACTTACGTTGAAGATGACGATACCGGACATGATGATGTTAACTTATAAATGTTTAAGATGATGATGATGTTAACTTACGTTTAAGATGACGGTGATGATGTTGACTTGCGTTAAAGATTATGATGATGTTAACTTACGTTGAAGATGACGATACCGGACATGATGATGTTAACTTATAAATGTTTAAGATGATGATGATGTTAACTTACGTTGAAGATGACGATACCGGACATGATGATGTTGAAGTTGTATCTCTCATTGTCAGCTGATTTGAAAATAGCATCAATCTGTCAAAAGCAATCTCAACATATCACATGCATATTTATAATGCACAGCTTATGGAATATTTTACGTACTTAATTTTGGGATTTGTAAAGGATAACGATTTTGGACCATACCGAGTTGACCACATGATCATAAAACTCCACCATCCGGGTCTTTGTGACGTAATCTCTTTCTGAGTCTGGTAGACTTAAGTTTGTAGTAGACAACCATCTGCAGAATTTACGGATTACCTTATATCTTGCAATTATTGTAAATCAGACTTCTTTTGTGTACATGTAAAATAATCAGTTGTAAATTTGTATGGAAATAAGAATCAAACCTTTGATAATTCTTGTAATCGGCCACTATCCCATACTCCACATAAAGTTTGTTTTGGATCACTTGACGCCGCGGTCTGATGAAAGAACTTTTTCGATTAGTTTTCTGGTCACGTGTTATGTGACGTCGTTCGCGGCTAATTCTTTGGCTGTCCTCTTTTAGTGGAGAATCTTCGCTGTCTGAAAAATTAAAGCCGCGGCCTCAAATTCAAACTGATATTAATGCAAATTGTAAATATTTTTACGAGAGACTTTGCAGGCAAAGCAAACGGCCACCATCAAATTTTAAAGAGATAACATATGAAAAAATCTTCAAAACAACACGTGACCGATACCTTGAAGGACCACGGCATCCCGGAAGTAGTCCACCACGAGTTCTATCCTACTGACCACGTGAGGACCTATCTCCCCCGCGGGCGTGTCACTCGCACCCGGGGCCGGTTCTATTAAATGTGAATGGCCGTCTTTGACAAAACTTCCATACTGAAACAAAGCAGAAATATAAATATACGAGTATTGCATTTACATTTTATTGTTCTACTTAAATGCATCAAAGGTTAATTAAAGTAAATTTTAGGATATAATACGTTAAGAAATCAAAATGTAGACTTTCCGTTATAGTAAAGAATTTTAGAAAATTTTAAATTCATATTTCAGTGCTCTTACAAATTTCTGTGACGTCAAATTATTCCACTTGATCGTGATGGCCGTTTTATCTGTGTCATTCACGTAGAATATACTTTCCTGTCAAAGATATAGTAATGTAAAAATATCTATAATGGAGAAGACCAACCTCACTATAATATGAAAATCAAGCTTACAAAGAGGGGAAAATATTTTATTAAGCGTTAGACATGTTAGATGTGGAAATAGAACTGCAAACTTCCGTTTGAAAGAATGGTTGGATGTTATATATTTTTCCCTATTTTGTTCTTTTAAAAGCCACGCACTTAATTGTTAAATTTCTTACAAAAACATTTTATAAAATTTTGTTTTTGTGGAGTACATTATGAATACATATTCACCCCAGTATGTACAGATTCCTCCTGAATAAAACCATTCTTTGTGGCGCTATAAATTCTAGGCTGGGTTACGTGACGTCGTTTACGTTGAGCGTATAAAGATGTTACGCCTGAGCTTGTGGTCATTTTGACGTGTAAGTTTTCAGGGGGCGTGTTGTCTAAACTTCTCCTAAATCTGCCGGATGGATCGTGGATTTCTAGGGTTACAGGCACGGCCTCTGTAGCTTAAATTTAGGATAAGAAACCAATGTAAATAAAAGTATTAGTAACAAAAATAATAAAACCATCTTATTTTAGAATGGCATTTCATTAAAAATTAGTTTGAAAAATCTCATAGATATATAAGTGTCTTAATGATGTAGTTAGTTTTCTTTCACAGTCAGATTAAAATTTCATATAATAATATCATCACAAATAAAGTTATTTTTTACAATTAAGATGGGGAGTGCCTTTGTAACTGATTGTAAAATTTTCTGAAAACTAAATTAATATATTCTTCTGTTGTTTATTTATTTATTTTTGGGACACACTTTACAGTTGTTTAATCAACCGTAAAAGTATGCGTCTAAATATTTAAATGTCAGAATCGTGGATTCCTGTCGATATTTATACAAGTGCTTTTTGCCGTCTGGGATGCCCCTGGTTATGTATACCGTGTGGATTTGATGAGATAAATGGATCGCTAGAACCTAACCGTGTCTCATAGATATACAGATTTCCAGTTTTACAAAATATATACATAAAGTAGAACTTTACGTGTTATATAAATATGTCTGTTATAAGAATTAATATTTATATCTAAGACAAAATGTTTGAAGAGAACAAAAACATGTAATGAAGAAAAATGTATTAAAAATTTTGTATAACGATAATGACTATTATAGTCCGGTTACTTACTTATATTAAAGTTGAAGAGAGTTTAAATAATTATTAAAATATATTGTAGATGTACAATAAATGAATGGACACAGTACTAAATTGTATACATTTTTATGAGAAAAAAATCCAAAATTTTCAAAATTTTTAGATTTCTTAGAATTTTTTTTTTTTAATTGTTTTAACGAACAAAGAGTATTATTTTATACGCGTAACAATGAATTTAAGACCGACATTTTCGGTCGACAATATTGATTAAACAGGAAAACCAATCAAATGACACAAAAAGGACGCATGTAAACCAAACAGACGGACAAAAATATCCGGAAGAATATTAACTAGCGGAATAAGAAAAACTTCTTTGTTTTTAAAAAGAAAAATAGTAAGCATGAATATTTTAACCCTCAAAAGAAAACAAAATCCTGCAAATACGAGTACTGCTGTTTGGAAATGAATTAACCAGAAATTTTAAGACCCGGTAAATTATTATATTTTCTATCAATTTCTTTAAATTTCCGGGAACACTACTGCAAGGCATAAGTTTAATTTTGACTAACAGGGTATAATAAGGTGGGTATAATTATACAAATGTTTTACCTTTTTGGGAGTGGCGAGGCAGGGCAATGGCGGGGATCAATTCCAGACCCCCCATCAAAATGAGGGAGATAGAAATGAGACAAAACATCATCGGGGTCCGATCGAAAACAGAAGTCCGTGCTATATGATATAATGGGCAAGAAGAATGCTACTGTATTCATTGATGTAAAACCTCGTAATAGAAAAAATATCCCGTCTAGTGTGACAGACATGATTATCGCGGGAAAAATCTCGGACGATAATCCGCGGGCGGGGACTTATCGCCCAATATCGCCCTACACATCAACCCACGGGGGAACGAGGCGGAGAAACATTCCCAACGATTAAATTTAGTGACGTCTTCGCTCATTAATTTTAAGTTAATTGGAATGTAAACAATTCACATAAAAATATTTTATATAATTGTAAATTCTTTAACGTACATGGGTCATTTTTAAAAAAAAAGTTTACTTTTTCAATGTACGATTGTTTAAAACCTCTTTAAAGAAAGGGGGGGGGGGGCAGAAAACAAACACTGTCGCATGAAAAAAAAAAACATACAAAAAAAGAATACAGTACTGCATGTACTGTGTATGTCCAAAATTGAAAAATCTTGTTATGTTCCCCAAACGAAGTTGGGGAACATATTGTTTTTACTCTGTTTCTTATTATTATTATTTTTCTTCTTCCTGGGCACTTTTTTGTCCGCGAATGATCTCGTAAACTACACATCCAACCAAGGTGAAATGTTTTTAGGGTCAGTAGACATGTTATGTAGACTTGCGGAACGAAGGTCATTTTGCGCGCACGTGCTTGCGAGAGCGCTCACGTGCAACACGTGAATAACCAATATAATGTATAGTGCCGTAACTTTTCTATTTTTTGATGAAATGTTTTGAAATTCATAATGTAAGGATGTATTAGTAGTATAAACAAGATGACGTGGTCAATATGGGAAGATCTCACGCGCATGCACGTGCGCTACGCTCTGATTGGCTGAAACTAAAGTCTCAATATCTTTCTTGTTTTTTGACGAAATCCTGAATTTTGAACATAGCCATGCATTAGGATATCCTACAAAATGATATATAGGAATTATCATGAAATCACGTGCATGCACGTGCGCTGCAATCTGATTGGCTGAAATTTTAAATAGCTATAACTCCCTTGGTTTTCAACCAAACAGGATGGGATTTGGAACATAGATATATATAATGGACTTCTACAAGAAGATATGGTCACCATGCACATGCATACACGTGCGTGTAGGTGCGCTGCAATCTGATTGGCTGAAATTTTAAATAGCTATAACTCCCTTGGTTTTCAACCAAACAGGATGGGATTTGGAACATAGATATATACAATGGACTTCTACAAGAAGATATGGTCACCATGCACATGCATACACGTGCGTGTACAAACGCTGCAATCTGATTGGCTGAAACTTTAAACAGCTATAACTCCCTTGGTTTTCAACCAAACAGGTTGTGATTTGAATAAGATATATATATATATATATATATATATATATATATATATATATATATATATAGATATATATATATATATATATATATATATATATATATATATATATAATGGACTTCTATAAGAAGGTATGATCACCCTGCACATACATACACGTGCGTGTAGGTGCGCTGCAATCTGATTGGCTGAAACTTTAAACAGCTATAACTCCCTTGGTTTTCAACCAAACAGGGTGGGATTTAGAACATAGATACAATGAAGCGCATTGAAGTGGTAAAATTTTCTGTTTGGATGAAACGTTTTGAGCTATCTTTAGACACGCCCATTTCTTTAGAAAGGAAAACTCGGTCAAATGATTCAATCGAATACCTGTAGAAAAGGTATTTCATAAATATAACACCCAATGAAATTGACGGTCTACATAAACACCGAGTAAGCACGTGTTCGATCGATACACGTGCTATGCTAACTCCAATAAACCTGATAAAATCATAATCATGGACAATTTCGTTGCAATTCGTGTTTTACATATGCGGGTACTCTATACATAGCTCTTTCTTATTTAAAACTCTTTCAATGTAACTTATGTTGCTTGTAGCGGGAAGTGTAGTGTCCTAAATCATTACGACAAATATTCCTTTCTCGTTTCTAAAGAAATGGGCGTGTCATTATGTTATTATTGACGTTCAAAACATGACTCAGAACGTTTCGTCCAAATGGAAAATTTTACCATTTCAATGCGCTTCATTGTAGATGTAATGGACTTCTACAAGAAGGTATGGTCACCATGCTCATGTATGAACGTGCGTGCACGTGAAATGGGTAAAATCAAAAATACACTTGAATGAGCGTTTTTTTTTTATACTTTTGGATTTAGTACTTTAATATTTAGCATATTAAAATATATAGATTGTGTAGAGAATATGATATGGTCATTACGCACTTGCATTAACATGCGCAAGTGTGCAATGATAAAATTTGAATGAACATGGTACAGTTCTGGGTAAACGTTGTTAAAGTCTCAAATGCATAAAGTTTGTCTTATTTAATTACGCTTACAGGGAATAAGACTATAAAAGGGAGTTGGGGAGCGTTTGGGGAACATCTGTAACGGTCCCCGTTACAATTAGCACTAGTTTTGTTTGGGATGACATGGAGGCCCAACCTTTTTAAGTATAAAGTTTTTATACTTCTATAGTTGCCGTATATATTTTAACTTTATTAGCTGCGAAAAAGGAGGACCCTAACGGCCTTTCGCTGAATAAGGGTATTGCAATTATCCCGGCATCCTTAAAAATTTTAAACAACAGAAAACGAGGTTAATTTTTTTTTTACCAGATGTATAAGAGTACAGAACAACATTTAGAAACTGCATTCGAGGGTACGTTCGAATCCTTCATGGAAAGACTTTATTATGTAGATGTATACATACATGTATAGACTGGTATTGCCTGTCTTTACCGAGAGAGATATCAGACAGGCAGAGAGATGTATTTTTCATATGCATGTATACTAGTAATGGAAGCTATAGTACAACGTAATAATATCTCTTTTGAGAGAGAAAGAGAGAGAATGTAAAAAAAAAAGTAAAAGAATTTCCCTTTCCTTGATAAAAAATTACATTTACTTCTTTCATAAATTAAAAAAAAGGAATAGTATTCAAGTGAAATGTTCGAATAATGTTATGAACCAATTAATTTAAAATGGCGGCAAAGTTTCTGAGACAAAGTTCGGTGCCTGACAAACTCGAAGAAAAGCGGTCAGCAGTGTTAGATTTCATAGAACACCAAAAAGGCCTTGATCGTAAAGTTGTTTTAGTTACAGTAAGAATAATTAAGATGTTACATTATCAGAAATTAACGTAACTTTTAGGTATTTAATAATTCTTACTTTCACTTTCGTTTTACCAGCTGTTATTCTGTTTTAGAGCGGTGGTACTACGGTCCCTCTAGAGAGTAAAACTGTCAGATTCATTGATAACTTTAGCGTGGGATCTAGAGGTGCCTCTTCTACCGAGTATCCTTTGAAACGTAAACTTTAAATACCCCCCCCCCCATTTTTAAAAATTAAATTTTTACTTTCTGTTTCCTATAACAGGTTGGGACCAATCGCCCAAATGGGATATAATAGTCTGTTTGGGATATAATATCCCAAGTGGGCTATATATTTACAGTGCAAAAATTGGAAATTTTTATTTTGGCAGTTAATATCATAAATCCGCATCAAAACACTTAAAAAGGAATAACTTTTGGTAAGCAAGTTTTTCTGCAACCCTACAGTTTGTAAGATTGATCCCCAAGAAGTTAAGGAACTTCCGAGGGATCAATCTCCTAAGCAATGGGCATACAGAAAAACTTGTCAACCTAAAATTATTCCTTTATAAGTGTCCTAATGCGGATTTATGATATTTATAGCTAAAATAAAAATTTTCAATTTTTGCACTGTAAATTTATAGCCCATTTGGGATATTATATCCCAAACGGACTATTATATCCCATTTGGGCGACTGGTCCCAACCTGTATAACGGTGAAACAGAACCCTGGATGTTTTACACAGTCATCAAACATGTCATGTAAGAAGTCCTAATTTTATAGCTAAAAGATGTTAAATTCGGAAAAGAAATTAATACTTGAGAAATAATGAAAAATAAAAATATTTGGACACTTTAGCAAGTCCTGTTTATGAAAGTGGAGTAGATATAATTATATAAAATACATGGTTACTGTCTCGAAATATCGCTTATATTTCAAGACAGTTATCATGTATTTTGTTTATCCTGCAACATATTCTTTGCATTTGAACATCCAAAACTAGCTATTTTGGACAGATTTCATGGATTTAGGCACATATCTCTGCCATTGAAACTATGACCCCATGGCGTAAACATTGCAATATATTTACATTTGCAAACGTTTTCCTTTATATAACACTACTGAAAGCAATGTGTATCTATAACTATATAAATACAGGTATGAGGTCAAGAGGTAATAGATGTGCGTATGGATAAACGTTCGACGTAATTTCTCTGTGACGTCATATAAAGGGTCAGTGGATTACATACATATCGTTGGGTTTGAAAAATAACATATTTCACACGTTAAAAGTTACAATAAGGCAAATATAAAGTATGAATAAGTCACAAATGTAAATAAAAGTAATAAGGTATCATTTTAAAACATCTATCGGGCTATAAATACGGGTTGGTACGAGATTAAATTCATCATAAAAGCCTTCGGGCTTTATGGAATTTAATCTCGTGACCAACCCGTATTTATATCCCAATAGATGTTTTAAAATGATACCTTATTTCTTAAATACATTACATCACAATGCTGTTAGAAAGTCGGAATACATGCACTAGGATTTATTAGGGTGACCGGATAAAGCTTTGGTTTATTAGGTTACCTTTAATTATTAGGTCAATGCAAGTGGTATTTGCAGGATAAATAAAAAAGCTATGTTTCTCAGATTGAGAAAACTGTGTAAGAAGTGCTTTATTTTTTCTCACCAAAGTATTAAAAATTGCAAAAAATATTTTCCTTGTCATTTCTTCAGATATTTCCTTAAGGAAGGATATGCAGTTATATTTCTCCACAGAAACAGATCTTTGAAGCCATTTTTACGTCATTTCTCAGGGTACAATTTTCTCGACTTATTACAGCTAGACAATGACAATCCAAACTCCGACGTGAAAGGTAACCTCTTAATTTAGTTTGAACTGGATATCAAAAGAAGTTGTAAATTACTAAATAATGACCCCAGGGTCAGGGGTTAATTTGGCATTCTATCATGTCTATAAAACACATAGTGAAAAGGCATACATACTTAAAACATTTTTCTTCTCTCCCCCTGTATATTGTGCAGACAAACAAAGTGTTTGGTTCTAATCTAATCCTCAAGGCCAATTTTTAGCTGGGTTTATTGCTCCAAGAGCAATTGCCGGCTTATGTGATCCTGTTCAAGACAGGATGTTAACCCCATAGTCGCCATTTTAAAGTTACGTGTAAAAATATAGTTCTTACTCTCAACCACTTTTGAGATAATACAAATGCTAAATAAAGCAACAAAAATAAAACGAAGTTTTATCTAAATAAATTAACAAGTTTAGTTTCTTTGAAAACTTCAGTCTTAAATCAAAGATCATAGTTCATTATTGTAAGGATTTTTGATAATCAGTGTTACATTTATCTTAGTTCTCTACACATACGAAGAAAAGCAGGAGAGGGAACCAGACTGGCCTGTTTGTTTATTTTCAGTTGCAGTACCAGATTAATTCTGATTCTGACAAAATCGGACCGTGGTATTAGGATAGATACTCTCTGTCATTGTCTTATCATTTATATTGATAGATTTAAAATGATTTTTTCGTCAGAATTTTAAATTTGATATTCTTTTTTTATCTGTTAATACAATATAAACGTCATGGAGAAATTCATAATGATTTTACTCTGTAAATGAGCCCGGCTCTCTGTACTTCTGAGTACTTTGATTGTAGCTTGCTAGACATGTTGGGCTATTTTTATGAGAAGTAAAACCTATATTTCTGTACTCACTATAAATGTAAATTTATAGATAACTGGTTTCCATTTCTATGCAAACTTGAAAGAAACCACGATTTTCTTGATTTAACAATGTTAAAACTTTTCACTTATACCTGTAGTCAAACCAGAATACCAGGAGAGACTTGTGTGTGTTTTACGTGACTATCAACAAGTCCAGAAGGAAGGCACGCTGCTGATGGTGGAATTCCAGACCCTGTCTGATTATTTACACCTGCTACAGGTGTGTTCTACCTGTCTGCAGAGTCTGGGGAGGTCAGCAATGTTATACCTGGCGGCCGCTGTGGCAGACTTCTATATCCCCAAAGATCAAATGGTCAGTGTCAAAGATCAAATGGTCAGTGTCTTGTTAACCTCTACATCCCCAAAGATCAAATGGTCAATGTTTTGTTAACTTCCACATCCCCAAAGATCAAATGGTCAGTGTCTTGTTAACTTCTACATCCCCCAAAGATCAAATGGTCAGTGTCTTGTTATAAATGGTCAGTGTCTTGTTAACTTCTACATCCCCAAAGATCAAATGGTCAGTGTCTTGTTAACTTCTACATCCCCAAAGATCAAATGGTGAGTGTTTCTACATCCCCAAAGATCAAATGGTCAGTGTCTTGTTATCTTCAACATCTCCAAAGATCAAATGGTCAGTGATTTTTCTACAATTTTTAAAAGGGGCCTGTGTGTCCGTCTTTTAAACAATTTTTCAAAACGCTACTCCTCCTACAATTTTGTGATTTCAATATTACCTGGCACACAAAACTACACTAAGATACAAGAATAGTGCATCGGTTTTTAATTTTGATGAACGGTGTTGCCATGGTTAATATATAGAATTTTCTGTGAAATTCATTTATTAAATTTACTCCTTCTACAGTTTTGGTCTGATTTTTAACGTGGCACACAAAGATACACTAAGAAATAGAATAGTGCATCGGTTTTTAATTTCGAGGAACGGTGTTGCCATGGTTTAAAAATAGAATTTTCTGTGAAATTCCTTTAAAATGCTATATTACAGTTTTAGTTTGATTTCAAAATAAGTTGGCACACAAGTAGACTAAACAAAGATACATAAAATAGTGCAATGGTTTTTGATAAGTACAAACCAGTTAGTTGGAGAGAAGACTCTTGGTTAAAGATCAAATGGTCAGTGTCTTGTTAACTTCTACATCCCCAAAGATCAAATGGTCAGTGTCTTGTTAACTTCTACATCCCCAAAGATCAAATGGTCAGTGTCTTGTTATCTTCAACATCTCCAAAGATCAAATGGTCAGTGATTTTTCTACAATTTTTAAAGGGGCCTGGGCCTTTTCAATTGGGAAAAATTGTCGACATTTGTGTCAAATTGGGAAAAACAATAAGATTGTAATTAACCTTCAAATTGACAAGTAAAATAATATATATAAGTAAATGTAATATCATTTATTAAATTTATTTTCTACAAAATTTTTCAACAAAATGGAAACAGTTCCTCATTTTTAATTTTCTTTCATTTTTGTTCTTTGATTGTCCTATATTCCATTTTCGCCATAATGGTAGACATAACTGAGAAAAAATTATTCCTGATTTCTCGTTATTGCTCGCATTGGAGATGGAATAATCTTGACACGATTTACAAGCATGTATTGCTGTGTTTCTCTGCTATGCTAGTATCTACAGGATGAAGAAACAGTTTAATTTTCGTGAAATCAAGGAAGCTTGTTGTAGAACTACTAGTACTTGCAATTTACAAATAAAGCTACGTTTAACCGATTCACATGCATATTAAATTTCTTACGATGTATTGAAACACAAGTTTGACATCCACATGATCGATGTTTTTATTTAAGTCTTGCAAACACACAAATAAACTGCTGTTTTTCGCCATTATTTTAAGCGTCCGAATGACCAAAAACATTAGCGTTCCATTTTAGATAAGTCGTACATAAAAAATTCAATACATGTATAACCAAAACAATACGTTTTGATTTTGGGAAAAAAGCAGTTGAAAATTGGGAAAAAATCGCTAATTTTTGAGAGGGGAAAGGGCCGATATTCGGACCTAAATTGAGTGTAGAAAAATCACTGAATGGTCAATGCTTTGTTAACTTCTACATCCCTAAAGATCATATGGTCAGTGTCTTGTTAACTTCTAAATCCCCAAAGATCAAATGGTCAGTGTCAAAGATCAAATGGTCAGTGTCTTGTTAACTTCTACATCCCAAAAGATCAAATGGTCAGTGTTTTATTAACTTCTACATCCCCAAAGATCAAATGGTCAGTGTCTTGTTAACTTCTACATCCCCAAAGATCAAATGGTCAGTGTCTTGTTAACTTCTACATCCCCAAAGATCAAATGGTCAGTGTCTTGTTAACTTCTACATCCCAAAAGATCAAATGGTCAGTGTCTCGTTATAAATGGTCAATGTCTTGTTACATACATTAAATACAGTCTGAGCATCAATGTAATTTATAAAGACTCAGGATGATGTGTTTTGACAGTCTGTTTTCAGTTTTATCTTGTCTTCAGATTATCCCTTGATGTTAAATTATTTATGTTTATGTTTATAGTCAGAACATAAAATCATTTGTTAGTTATATCAATGCATATATTGTAACAGCTGGAACATTAATCTGTTGTAATTACAGCCAGAACATAAAATCCAGTCCTCAGATGGTCCTTTACAGCTCTCCCTTCAACTCGTGCCAAAGATGTTGGAGCCCTTGGTGAAGGAGTGGGTACCCCAGGCCTATGTTGTGTCATTTAAGGTAAGGAATAATTCCTGTACCACAGGCTTATGTTGTATCATTTAAGGTTAGGAGTAATTACAGAAATCTGTCAAGACTGACGACCAACCATTAAATCCCAGGGTTTGTGCATGATGTGTTTGGTATCATTCAAAATATGTATGAAAATACATGTAATTTCATTTATAAAAGTTGAATTTACCCTCTGGTGCTAAATGGAACAGCGTTATAGCAGCATGGTGACCTAATGTGTTTCTCCATAGAGAAACGATCAGTCGTATTTTAGAGCTGCTAGTAGAATAGGAATAGAGTCCTTGTTGCCATGAATGATGCAGAATAATCTCCTCGGGCTCAAAATGTTGTTTGAAATATAAAAGTCTTGGCTAACGCCTCGGCTTTTATCTTTCACAGGTCTAGACCACTAGATTTTCTGACATCAGCATAAATTTGCATGTAAATTAGCTATCTGTTTACTTTACCCACTGATGAATGAGTCGCAATGCATTGTGGGCTACTACAAGTACTCAGCTGTGTTGAAAATAAAGGGAACTTGAATTGTCCCTTGGAAACTTATTTTCAATTCTTTTTTGAGATTTGTGAAAGAAATATTTAAAATGATGTATAATCTTTCATTTCTATGCTCACATTTACAAAATTTGCTTTATAAAGCCTTTTATCAACTTAGAATACATCGGCCTTAACCATTGTTGAAAGAGACGTAGACCTGTGCTACATGTATCGTGTCGATAAAACATTGAGTTTTTTTCATGTGATATACATGTACATAGTTTTAGCAGGTAGTATATAAGTTTTTGGTTTTAGACAGCAGGAGAAGGTGTGCAATTATTTTTTAACCCCTCAATACTATTTTATGTACATGCAAACGTCAAAGCGTCTGTACGGCAACTATTAATCATCAAAAACAACTCCAATATTAAATGTGAGCATGGAGCAATGCCTTTAGAATATAATCTTTCAATTTTGGTCTTATAAAGTGATAAAGAAGCTCTACAGAAAACCACGTGTCGCCATTGAATCGTAAACACGTAGTAGAGTGTCATGCTTTGGGACTCATTCACTTGATTGGAGAACGGGTGTGACGTCACATCGTCACGTGTTGAAAATCGCCTTCTATATAAGGTAGTGATCTCGACTGTTTCAAACAACATTTCTCGACCTTGGAGGTTATTCTGCAATATTCCCCCAAAAACGTAGACTTTACTTCTTAAATATATATATGCTACACTATAATTAATGGTTGCATATATCTTCCAGCTTGAAACAAACAAGGATATTTTGGTTTCCAAATCTCTTCAGGCCCTAGAAAAATATCAGCATCAGGTAATTATGTTAACTAAACAAATATCAACTCAAATTCATGTTTCAATTTGAAACTTATTTTAATATCAAGAAATAAGATATAAGAATGCATTTCCTTCATAGTGAGAAGTGGCAAAAAATATTTTCGCTGCAATGGGAGTTTATCACTGATTAAAATAATTCTATTTGACAGTTGGTGGTGGCCAATCTATTGGACACGAGGAAGAAGGAGGTCAAACTGGTTACCAGGGATACCTGTCTGGACATTACCATGACAACCCATGAACTCTCTCAAGGTCAAGAGATTGAGGAAAAAATTGTGAAGGAACTTAAAAGTCTCCATTCAGCATTCTGTTCCCATGATGAACAGACTTGATGAGAACATTAAATAGAGGATTAGGAGCTTATTTATTTCTATCGGTTGTATAGTATGAATGTTAATCTCATTTGTTTTAGCTGGACTGAGCTTTTTTTAAGATTGGAGTTCTGTGATACTTCTGTATGACGTAAGTTCAATATAATTTCAATACAATTGAGACTAAATTCCAAGACAATTTTATAGGCTCAATTATTGTTATCGTAATATTACGTTAGAAATAATAATTTCTTAGAATGTTGCATTTTTAACCAGTATTGCTCACATGTTCAGTTGTACATCATATGTTATGGAGCATTCCGCTTTATACTGCAACATTTATCTCAGTTACATGTAAATCTAATGAATATTATAAATTTGTGAACAGAAATACCATTAATGAACAAACTTGTCTGTTTAGTTTATATTGTATGAAATAATTAATGAGCAAACCTGTCTGTAGAGTTTACATTGTATGAAATACCATTAATGAACAAACTTGTCTGTAAAGTTTATATTCTACTGAAATAGTTAATGAGCAAACCTGGAAGAGTGTCTGAAAAAGTGGTACTTTTCTTGTACTGACATACATGTCAAGACAAACTAGGTTTACATCAGTATTAAAATACAAAGCAGTTAACAAGATAAGGTTTTTATGTTTTACTTCATATTTTGTTTGTATTTTGATATATACATGTACATGTATATTGTTTATTAAGATGTCTTTACAAAAGAAAAGCTATGAAATCTTTTGTAATCCTTTTTTTTTTTTCCAATGGTGAAATCTGATTTTCTTGTTGTCTTGTATTGAAAGGTTACAATAACTAAACCCCATTCCACATTAAAAATGTTAAAAACAACTCCTCATCATCACTAGTAAGTAATTTAAGTCACTGCAAGTTAAAGTCGAAGTGATCAGAAGCATTAAGTAGATTATGTTACTGTAAGTTAAAATCGAAATGTTCAAATTGATTTCTGAATTCCCTGTAAGTTAAAGTCAAACTATTCAAATTGATTTCTGAATTCACTAAGTTTAAATCGAACAGTTCAAATTGATTCCTGAATTCACTGTTAGTCAATGTCAAATATTCGAATTGATTTCTAATTTCACTGTAAGTTGAAGTCAAACTATTTGAATTGATTTCTGAATTCACTCTGAATTCACTGTAAGTTAAAGTCAAACTGTTAAAATTGATTCCTGAATTCAACGTAAGTGTAAGTCAAACTGTTCAAATTGATTTCTGAATTCACTGTAAGTTAAAATCGAAATGTTCAAATTAATTTCTGAATTCACTGCAAGTTAAAGTCAAACTGTTCAAATTGATTTCTGAATTCCTCAGCGTGACTCTCCTCTTCGTCTCGCCGGAGTTTACACACCTTCCAGTCAACTCTCTCTGGCATGTTCAACAGATGGACGCTGGCAAGGACCTCTCTAATTAAAAAAAAAAATTCATTTTAATAAATGAATGGAGCAGGTTAAACTCCTGAGCTGAGAAATGTTGTTTTGAAATATAAAAGCTGAGCTAAACATTTGAGATCATTTACTGCAAGAATTTTTTCTATTCCATTAATAGCTCTTAAATGAGACTGACTGATTTGAATCACTTTAAACATATCCATGGTATTCCAGATGTCAGTGTACATGGACAAGATACCTGCGTGAATGCATCGAATGACCTATTATTTCCAATAAGACATTATTATCCCTTGTATGGCTGTTTAAGTATTTTATCTGGAAAGACCCTTACCTGCCAAACTGGAGTGGGAAATTTTTAGAAATTCGATGTAGTAACTTTTCTCCAGTTGGAAGTTCTGCGTAAAAGTAAGGAGCACCTACTGGCACAATCTAAAACAAGGAACGAGTAATGATTAACAGAGTAGCTTAATTCATCTTATCGAAGAAAATTATATGGGACTAGACCTGTTTAAGATCAGAGTGTTTGGGACTATACCTCAGGATCTTGAAACAAGCTTAGACTTAAGTAAGATTTTAAATCGCCTATAAAATATTCATTAATTTCAAAATTTGCAGATAATAACACCTCTGTGAAATAATTGTAAAAAACATTTTAATTTTGTTCTGCTTGACATCTACAGCATTTTGTTATGAAATAAAAGATTCTTACTTAAGTTTAAGATGTTTCACAATCCTGGGGCCTGTTTAAGATCTGTTTTGGACTATACCTGTTTAAGATCTGAGTGTTTGGGACTTTACCTGTTTAAGATCTGAGTGTTTGGGACTTTACCTGTTTAAGATCTGAGTGTTTGGGACTTTACCTGTTTCAGATCTGAGTGTTTGGGACTTTACCTGTTTAAGATCTGAGTGTTTGGGACTTTACCTGTTTAAGATCTGAGTGTTTGGGACTTTATCTGTTTAAGATCTGAGTGTTTGGGACTTTTCCTTTTTAAGATCTGAGTGTTTGGGACGTTACCTGTTTCAGATCTGAGTGTTGTGCACTTTACCTGTTTTAGATCTGAGTGTTTCGGAATTTCATCAAGGTTGATTGATTCTGACTCGGCACACTCTAGGAAACTGTCCTTGGCTTCTTGTTTAAGGTCATCAGGAAATGGAACAGCCTGTAAAATTGTCAGACTAATAACAGAATTCATTAAGCCTTGTATCTTAATGGAAACAACTACATTCTTCAATCTGAGAATGACAATGTTTATCTTTCTGTAAAAAGAAGCAAGTTATTTGAAGGAAAAATAAGAAATTCAATTTGAAACATACAGTCAATTGAGGGTAAAATTAAAAAGAAAAGGGGTGGGTCTTAAAATTACTTCAACATATCCATGGTGATTCAGATACTGAAGTTCAGCTGTTTTACTCTGCTTAATAATATTGCAGGAGGAAGTTTATACGTTCACATAAAAACTACGCAAGTACTATAAAAGACTACCTGAATCTGCAAATGCTGTGTCTTGTAGTTTCTCTCGAAAAAGATGACACTTCTGTTGGTCTGTTTGTAAAACTTAGTTAGTGCTTTTTTGTACCAGAATTTGACTTAAGGAAAACAGCAACTTTATATACAAGAGGCCCATGGGCCACATCACTCACCTGAGAAGCTTTGACCATTCTGTTCTTTACCAGATTTCCCCCTTGTAATACATAATGCATTCCCACCCTACCCCACTGATCATAATTTAGACATTTTGAAATCTACACTACCCCAGGATCCTTCCATGTGTACATAAGTTCCAGCTTTTCTGGCCCAGTGGTTCTTGAGAAGAAGATTTTCAAAGATTTTTCCTATATATTTCTATGTAAAACTTTGATTACAAATTGTGGCCCCACCCTTCCCCTGGGGCAGTTTAGAATCTACACTACCCCAGGATGCTTCCACATAAGTTTCAGCTTTTCTGGCCCAGTGGTTCTTGAGAAAAAGATTTACCGGGTACAAAGTTTTTTTTTCTCTATATTTCTATGTAAAATTTTGATTCCCAATTGTGGCCCCGCCCTTCCCCGTGGGGTCATGATTTGAAAAATTTAGAATCTACACTATACAAGGATGCTTCCACATAAGTTTCAGCTTTTCTGGCCCAGTGGTTCTTGAGAAGATGATTTTCAAAGATTTTTCCTATATATTTTTTATGTAAAATTTTGATTCCCTATTGTGGCCCCGCCCTTCCCCCGGGGGTCATGATTTGAACAATTTAGAATCTGCACTACCCCTGGATGCTTCCACATTAGTTTCAGCTTTTCTGACCCAGTTGTTCTTGAGAAGCAGATTTTCAAAAATTTTTTCCTATATATTTCTATAATGTAAAACTTTGATTCCCAATTTTGGCCCCGCCCTTCCCCTGGGGGTCATGATTTTTACAATTTAAAATCTACACTACTCCAGAATGCTTCCACATAAGTTTCAGCTTTTCTGGCCCAGTGGTTCTTTGGAAGAAGATTTTCAAAGATGTTTCCTATATATTTTATGTAAAACTTTGATTCCCCATTGTGGCCCCGCCCTTCCCCGGGGGTCATGATTTTTACAATTTGGAATCTACACTACCCTAGGATGCTTCCACATAAGTTTCAGCTTTTCTGACTCAGTGGTTCTTGAGAAGAAGATTTTTTAATGACCCCACCCTATTTTTGTCTTTTCTTGATTATCTCCCCTTGTGAGGGGACTTGGCCCTTTATTTTAATAATTTAAATTCCCCTTCACCCAAGGATGCTTTGTACCAAGTTTGGTCAAAATTGGCCCATTGGTTCTTGAGAAGAAGTCCAAAATGTGAAAAGTTTACAGACGGACAGCTAGACAGACAGACGGAGGACGGATGGACAACGGGCCAAATGTGATCAGAAATGCTCACTTGAGCCTTCGGCTCAGGTGAGCTAACAACATTCAGAAAATTATACTTAATCCAGAAGCCAGCCATAGGAAACAAGGGCCACAATACTCAGTCTGTGTCCCCCTCTCCTCTGGAACAAAGATTGTGAACACTATTTTTAAGTAAAATTACCATTTCTACTTTCGCTTTAACGTAGCTAGTGTTAATTAAAGGATACTTGTCGATTTCTTCTCTGACATCATCGGGAGCGAGAACCATAGACTGATGATGACCAATGGGTAAAATGAGGGCGTGGTCTGGAACTAAACCTCCCTTAGCCAAGGCCAAGTAACACTAGAAAAACAAAGTAAGTGGTGACAAAATTGTTCTTAACAAAACAAATTGTAGTTTAATTCATAGATGGATCTAGAAGGGGGTCTGAAGGTCTCCCTTAGAATTTGCAGTAATTTAAATATTTATACTTATTCAACTAAAAGCAACCTTAGGTCCCCCCTTGACAAAAAAGCAAGTCTGCGTTAAGTTGGTACGAAAAGTTATTGATACGAAGCTTTTGAACCCCCCCCCTCTCTCTGTGTCAAGAAATTTCTGGGTTGGATTTTTTTTGACTGGGGTGTATACTGTATAGCAAGCCTATAGCAGGACAGCAAATCTGCAGATCACTGGACAATAAAATATGGAATGGTCATCACATTCAATTTTTAAGACCAGTAAGCTACGGATTTGCAGTTATCAAAAAAGTTGTTTACAAAAAAAACAATGTGCAAGTGAAACTAACTGAAGAAATTTTTTCAGTTAGACTTACTGGAAGTAAAAACTGTGACAATGTTCAAGTTTGATACTTTAGTTGTAACATTTTGACAAACCAGATGTCCACAAGGGACTACAGTAAAGGCCATCTGTATCAATATCTCATCTCATTCTTACCTCTGTTCCTACACTGACCACTAAATGTTTCTCAACCTCTGGAGACCCCAGGCAGAACCAACATGGCCCTGAAGGTCGGGCTGTAAAGTATAATGTCATACAGTGTATGATTGAATTATTTTTGACCTAATATACTAATTATCAAATCATTACTATTATCATCATTTTCACCTATACAGCATAATAAATTATAGTCTTCTGGAATTTACTATGTGTAAAATCATTCATCAAGTCTCTCATTCATATTCACAGTGTTGAATGCTCATTGGTTGAGTTGGGAGTGTGAAAGGTCAAAGGTGTTTATGTCAGAATGGGTGATGCTTGAAGGTGTATGATTGATGGATATTTTAGAGTGAGAAGTTTGTGAGAGGTTTTACCAGTTTGGCACCAAATGTGCATGATTGGTGCCAAATACCCTCACAGGGATTCTGTGATTCAGAAACTTTATCTATCCAGACTCTTTATCTATCCAGACACTTTATCTATCCAGACACTTTATCTATCCAGACACTTTATCTATCCAGACACCATTGTGAGGAAGGGAATCCATATCATATAAGCATACATTACAAACCCACATTGAAATGCTTGGGAAGAAGTGAAAACAAGAAACTTAAAAATAGCAAGAGCATGTTTTTTGTGTTGTCTACGTGATACATGTACATGTGTACTTTAATTTTATATGATGTATAAGATGCAGTGTTTATATACTATGATAAGTGTACATTATTTCTTTATTTGCCCTGACTTTGAAGTGACTAAGAATAAATCCGACAGTAATCTTACGATGTTTTTTATGAGATCCTGGTTCCCGTTTTTCTTCTCTCGGCCTCTTTTTCCCTTTATCTGGGGATTTTGTATCACCAAAGAAAAACTGTTGTGCTGATTCCTCCTACAATAATAATAGCTTCATCTACTCAAATACAGTCAGGTGTAACACAGAAAGGTCAATACAGAACAATGAACACAAGACCATCTTAAGGTAGGATTCTTCTCACATTTCTTGTATTTAAAAATTAATGAAATTTTCACAGAATCAAGAGGACAATATCACTAAGTGATGGTATCAGTGAGATTAAATTTAACCATTTAATATCAGAGGCAAGGTCAGGTCAAGGTCATTACCTTTTTCCTGGACATTAAGAATAAAAAATTACTGTTTCCAATCATGCGATCCCTACTTATAATTCAAAAGATGGAATGTTTTCCTTTTTGCATGAAAAGATACTACCATATAGGGCCTATAAGATGATATTACCTAATTGACATGGATTATTTAAATAAAATGGATATTTGCTAATCCGAATTTCCTCTACTTTTCTTAAATTTTTAGGATTTATTAGTTATTTTTATATGCTTCCTATATTTAACTTTTTCTAATTTCCACATATAGTAAAGTTGTACATAAATGTACAAAATGATACAAAAACTAAAAGTTTTGATCATTTACTAAGAGAGAAATAAAACTTTTTAGCTCACCTTAGCCGAAGGCTCAAGTGAGCTTTTCTGATCACATTTTGTCTGGCGTCCGTCTAGCTGTCCGTCTGTCCGTAAACTTTTCACATTTTCGACTTCTTCTCAAAAACCGCTGGGCCAATTTCAACCAAACTTGCCACAAAGCATCCTTGGGTGAAGGGGAATCAATTTCGTTCAAATGAAGGGCCACGCCCTTATTCAAGGGGAGATAACTGAGAATTAGTGAAAATTTGGTGGTATTTTCTTCTCAAGAACCACTGTGCCAATGGGGAAACATCCTCTGGTAGTGTAGATTCAAGTTTGTTCAAATCATGTCCCCCGTGGGTAGGGCGGGGCCACAATGGTTGACCAAAGTTTTACATAGAAATATATAGGAAAATTCTTTAAAAATATTCTTCTCAAGAATGACAAAGCCATAATTCATCATATTTATATGGAAGCATGTTCAGGTAGTGCAGATTCAAGTTTGTTCAAATCATGACCCCCTGGGGTAGGGCGGGGCCAAAATGGCCGACCAAAGTTTTACATAGAAATATATAGGAAAATTCTTTAAATATCTTCTTCTCAAGAATGACAAAGCCATAATTCATCATATTTATATGGAAGCATGCTCAAGTAGTGTAGATTCAAGTTTGTTCAAATCATGACCCCGAGGGTAGGGCCGGCCAAAATGGCCGACCAAAGTTTTACATAGAAATATGTAGGAAAATGACAAAGCCATAATTCATCATATTTATATGGAAGCATTTAGTGTAGATTAAGTTTGTTCAAATCATGACCCCTGGGGGTAGGGTGGGGCCAAAATTTTACGCAGATATATAGGAAAATACTTTAAAAATCTTCTTCTCAAAAATGACAAAGCCATAATTCATCATATTTATATGGAAGCATGCTCAGGTAGTGTAGTTTCAAGTTTGTTCAAATCATGACCCCCTGGGGTAGGGTGGGGCCAAAATGGCCGACCAAAGTTTTACATAGAAATATATAGGAAAATTCTTTAAAAATCTTCTTCTCAAGAATGACAAAGCCATAATTCATCATATTTATATGGAAGCATGCTCAAGTAGTGTAGATTCAAGTTTGTTCAAATCATGACCCCCGGGGTAGGACGGGGCCAAAATGGCCGACCAAAGTTTTTAAAGAAATATATAGGAAAATTCTTTAAAAATCATTTTCTAAAAAATAGCAAATGCATGATTGGTCATGGGACTACTTTTGGATTTAAACTTTACAATAAAAAGCGATTTTCTACTTTTTCCTACCCTTAGTGCTCAGGTGAGCGATGTGGCCCATGGGCCTCTTGTTATGGATTTTTAGCTCAAATCTCTACTTAGATTTGAAGCATTTAAAAGCCAACATAGTTCTAGTATGTGTGAAAAATCTTATTTAATTGATATACCCTAAAACCTTGAAAATAAGACTGATTTAATAATAAGCCGGTTTTGAAAATAAGCCACCTATTTCTTGCATTGAAAATTACTCGAAAATAAGCCAGTTTTGAAAATAAGCCGGTCATGACAATGCCATTTAGGTTTGACGATTTCCTCGTCTCAAAAAATGACGAGTGAAAACTTTGACGATTTTTTTTACTGTGCAAAATAAAAAATGAGTTATCTTTCTTTAATTCATTGAAGCTTTACCAATTTTTGCATACGACATAATACGAAGGAGTACGAGTATCGACGACATAGTACGAACTAAGTCTGTAGCTACTAATGAACTTCTGTAAAATAACTAATAAAGGGTAGTTTTTAAAGTTAATTTTTTTTTACCAGTAAGCATGTTACGCTGGCCAAAAAAAACTTCATCGCGGAACCAGCTAACATGGTGAATTTTTTTCATGAAATTGTCAGAAACAATAATTATCTCATCCAGACATGTACAAGCTAACGATGTGTTTAAAGTTGTAATAATTAAATAAGTAAATGGATAAAAGGAAGGTTTTGTTTGTAAAGTATTTAACTGTCGAGTAATACTGCCCGAGGCAAGAAACCTGCTGATCGGCAGGGCTTGGTAATAATTACATTTCAATGTACTGTATAATTGAGTTGTTTAAATATGTGTTTGTTTGACTAATTTATCAAGTGATTCAAATGCAAGCAGATATCTTATACATTTAATTTTTGTATATTATTTTTACTTTTTTAAAACAAGTTTATATTTCATGTAAATTTATATGCTGTATACAATGAAATTATCTTTTCGGGATCGGCATTCTTGGACGATTGATTACACCATAGACCTAAAGAACGTACACCGGGGAACGCCAATGAATAAAAAAATTGACGAGAGAATACTTCATATGACGAGCTAAAGTCATTCGTCAATGTTTCCTCCTCGTCAAACTTTCCACGTTTACAGTATTTTTTCTACACGCAAGATACTGAACACAGTATTATTGTAAAAATTTTATTTTATTATAAACATTTCATGACATTCATGATTTTTTAATTTTAGATCGAACAAGTAGTTCTTATTCTATCGATTACACTTTATTCAATGATTGTATTGAACAGAAACCATGATTATGCTCTCGTCTCTTACCAGTTTTTTGCATTGATAATAAGCCGCAATTTGAAAATAAGCCGGTTTTGAAAATAAGCCCCCATTTTCTTACCAAAACTTAAAATAAGCCGCGGCTTATTTTCAAGATTTTAGGGTATTTTGAAACTTTAGTCCCTTATAATTAATTTAACTTACCCGGTACATTTGAAAATTTCGTCTAGTCTTTGATTGCGTAAAAATTATAACTAAATTCGATGTTCTATAATAATTTTGAGAGGCAGACAAGAAGATATTTTCATATGCCACCATTCCGCCAAAAATATAGTCACTGCTAGTTTTCAAACGAAGTTTATCATTTCTATTTAAAGTTGTATAATTGTGATGAGGAAAGAAAAATGAGGCCTTTTAAATCTCATACATTTAAATATATAAGAAATATCAACAAATGTATGTCACGATTGTGACAATGATGCAGATCGTTTTATATAGATTTCATGTTACCCTGTACATTGATTTGATACTATGATTTGTAAATCTTATAACGGTTAAAGTTCTTATTATAACTTACTGTACTTACATATTTTGTAGGGCATGATCCTATTGTTATCGTATTATCATCCTGGACTAATAACTATACTGTAATAAGCTGAATTAGTTGTATTTATCGTTTCAAACTCTGTAACTTTATTTATAGAAACCGCCATCATGATGATTATTTTGTGGAATGTCACGCCCGATTTTAATTGTAATTTTCTGTATACTAAGCATATTTATCGAAATTTAATACTTAGGGGATATTGTCATTTTGTATAAATGTTTTATATTATGATTGTCATATTTTTATGTTGATTATCTATTGTTATTGTTAAACATATTTTGACAATGATTATTGCCGGTGGCTGCCGGTGACTGCCGGTGGTAAAGGAGATCTGCCGGTCGTCCCTAGGGAAGCGCGTGGGTCTCCGGGGGGACTGTCGAGAGCTATAAAAGCAGGGGATAAGAACTGCCGGTGGGACTCGGCATTTAGATTTTGAGGTTAGCGGTTGTTTATTTGATTCTTAGCATTTTTCATTAGGAATTTAGTAATTTTTTAATTAATTCATCGATTTTCTTATAGTGAATACGGGTTAATCTCGTTTCACTATTAATTGCTAGTATTTATCGTAGGACGTTTATATTGGGTTAATCTCGATATTAAACGATTAAATAATTTTGTTACGGTTTGACTGAAAGTGAGTCTTGAAGTCTTTCCGTGTAAATAATTGTTTATCTTTGATCGATTTTAGGAATTCAGTCAATTTAAAGTAATAATCTAGTTGCATTTATTGGAATATCCAAGCAGGAATTAAGGCTAGGAGTTGATATAGAAATTATAGAGATAAATTTCTTGCTTTAAATAGCTTTTATAGATTGTGTAGATTCTTTCAGAAATACTTTGGTTATTCTAAGGTATTTCTATAGTATTTAATATTCACTAATCGGGTCATTCTCGTTTAGTGCGCCCCCCCCCTTTTATCGTATTAACGTAATACGAAGGTTGTGTTAGTGTAGTAATTCATTGTGAATTTGGGTGATTCCCGACTTCCATTGAATTTTATTGTAATTGAATATTAATTAATACATATTGTGACTTTTATTTATTGAATAAATTTGTAAACTTTAAATAAGGCTTATCATTTAACTTCCCCGTAGTTATTTACGAGTCCAAACACAGGTTATTCTTGTGTTATTATAGGAGATCTTTATTTACGGGTAATTCTCGTTAATCATCAAAGTACTACATGGGTTATTCCCGCGTAGGTAATTAAAGTACTTGTGCGTGAGATCCAAGCAGCTCAGGTCCGTTACATTTGGTGGCAGCGGTGGGATCTGCCAAGTACATCGGTGGATCCAGAGATACGTAACCCAGAA